CGCCTCTCGCTCCTCTCGTCACTCCTCGCTATCACACGCGCCTCTCCTTACCAGCTCCTCGCCTCACTGCTGCTGCCGCCGCTGCCTACATTACACTTACCCGCTTCTCGACCGTCCCCGCATCCGGATCGTCTGCTTTTATATCCCCCAGTTTCTCAACTTACAAGGAATCCCCGCCCGAGACTACTACATATGTATCGCGGACTCTCGACGCCTCTTGCCCGGATTGTGCTCTCCTTCTGTATTGCGTTTACGGGCGGTCGGGAGCGCGCGCCAGTTGTCGTTTGCCATTTTCCTGATCTGATTCGAGCCAGTCGTACCTATCCCCGCCTTTTCCTTTTCTTGTGTATATATCCTACTCCGCTCTTTGCTTGCCATCTGCATTTCGGTTTCTGCTCTATATTCCACTGGCTTTCAAACCTCCACCCATGTCTGGCGTGTGGTATATCGTAGGAAAAGACACGGACTTGACGGCCGGAAGCGTGATTGGCGTGAAACGTGTGGCTCGCTAAGCTGCTTCTTACCACCATCTGCGCTCGATTGCCGTGGCTTACTCCATGGGGAATACCATCCCGTGCTGTACGCTACCGAGCTGGACACAGAATATCGACGCAACGTACTGAGGTCGACGAGGAGAGTGTTGTCGTTGAGTATCCGTACTACCCACGTTCATACTCCAGATATGCCATTCTAGTTCGCCGCTCAGCTTCTAGCGGCTTCTTGTCCACTTCCCGCAATGCTTCCTAGAAGCCATTGCGCTTGCTCCGGTGCTCCAACCTTGAGGCTCGAGGGTGATTATGTGGTGGCCACCTTTCGCCAATGACCTCGCTAGCCAGGGAGACTGTACCAGCGGTCCTCGTATACCTGAATGCTGACCCTTAGCAGAACATAGACCCTCCTTTGGCGTAGTCCGAATCTCCGAAGCGCTCGCAAGCAGCTCCGCGGGCTGACACGCCGGGCTTCCTCTTGCTTCTTACTGCCATGCTTTGTTCCTCAACACGCGCGAAAGATGGCTTCGGCGGGCCACACCGCGCGTAACGGCTGTGCACCCGTTCATGTCAGCAACGTTGGAGGTACTACTTCTCTGCTCATCGCTCGGCCCTCGCAGTAATATCAGGCTCAACTGGAATCCTTTGGGGGAACACCGGAGGCCTCGAATGGCATTGGACGATACACCTCATGGAAGCGTTGATGGCCATTTGAAGTTTGACTGCCGTGTGCAGAACGGGAGCCCGCTCACGAGTGCATAAGTAGGGGCCGAAAGACCTCGCGTCCAGTAGCTTTCTGGCGGCGTGGATAATGAAAGCCCAATGAAAGTGCCCTTCGAGACCTTCGCCGATGTGGTCTCGTTTACGCATACAGGCGTATACTATAAGTACCAGTAAACGTTCGCGATGTCATACATGTTGACTAGCACATGCACTCCAGCCGTGGCCCGTGTTTTCAGGTGACTACGGCCAAGCCCATAGACCCTGCTGTAGCCATCCGAGCTCAGGTCGCCGCCGTGAACTAGCCCTGTACAGGCATCACCTACACTTTATTGGCAACGTCACGAAGAGACTACCTATCGTAATCTTTATGCCAATGCCCGAGCTATCTCCTCGTCACAAGATGTGTTGCACGCTTGTAGCACAGATGTACCTGCAGGAACCCATCTTTGTTTGCCTGTTAGACGTATGGGTATGATCTTCGGGTCCGAGGATTAGTTCGGGGTGTTGAAGGGCCATGCGAGCCCTGTGTACATAGCGATAAGGAGATAACAAGCGTCGATTGTCTTCACAGTCAGAGGAGTGTACTCTGTGTCCAGCAATGCAACGGCTTCTACGCGCCAGCTGAAAGTACCTCGAAGGTCGCACAGGTGGAGGTCGGGATAACCCCTTTCGGGCCGATCTTCCAGGGCGCTTCTCGACCTCGGCGATCAGCGGACCACCGCGCGGTGATGCGCAGTTTACGGTGACCCCATCGTCTTCTCTTTCACCGCCACCATGCTCTTGTCCGAACCAGAGCCGAGGAGGAAACATAGAGCGCCGGTCGGCGGCCATACTAGCATGTGCTCGTCACGTTCATGAGATGGCCGGCCGATTGTGCTACGAACATTCAAGACCGTATCTATGTTTTTCCTAGAACTGCCTGTCAATCGCCCAGCAACCATCAACTTTTGTGTCGGACAGCACTCACAACGATCGGCCGTGATGTCGAGTTTACCCTGCTCGTAGCATCAGGCGGTGTACGACACAGCTCCCTGTGCGCGATATCGGACTTTGGATAGTCTTGGCCCACGCTGTAGACTCTGAAATATATCTTCCTAAAGCCGACGGCGCGCATGGTTGCACGTACTGGCAAACGCCGGACTTCTTGCTTCGCCGATGTGCATGCTGTCTCTATCCAATTGAATGAACTTCACCGACGCTGGCGGAGGCTATCCGTGAGATGCATCGACTTCTATATGCGTAACGCACGGGTTCATAACAATGTATCCATGCGTCCCACCCGTCCGGATGACCCGGCATCGAAATGTGTACCTTTCAATTGAATACCTCGATCTGCGATCGTGGTATCCGCTTGAATATAAAACCAGAGTATCATGTCTAACGGAAGCTGCGGCTCTCCCTCTTCAGCACTGCTGTCTAGCGAAGCCACCTGCAGAACTTGCTTGTCACCATGAAATTCTCCCTCTCCCTTAAGTTTGCCGCGCTCGCACAGAGTCTCCTTGCGCTGACCGCGCTCGCAACGCCCAACCCGATTTCCGGAAGTGGTGAGTGCCTGTCGCAACTACTCTTCGTGACGTCGTAGCTTAGCCCTCTCAGCTATCCAACTCCGCGACCCCGCCATCTGGTACAACTCCGCGACGAAGGTGGGAATACATCCCAGTAATGAACATGCGTTGCGTCTGACTGCGGTATAGAAATACTACGTCTTTGCGACTGATAACAAGATCGGGATCTTCACGGCCACCTCGTTGAACGGGTATACCTTGTGCACCCTCTATGCACCGACGATGGTTCTGACGAACACCCTTAGACCTTGGACCAGCGTTGGCTCTGCCCTCCCTAACTGCTCTATCATTCAATTGGACGGACGCTGTGTTCTTTGGGCACCCGACGTCAACTGTACGTGTGCCTCTTATCTATGCGGTCGATCTGTACTGATTGGATTCAGACATCGACGGCGAGTATGTATTGTATTACTCTGTGTCCACCATCAGCAGTCAGAACTCGGCCATCGGTGTTGCCACTTCCCCGTCCATGGAGCCTGGAACATGGACAGATCATGGCGAGGTTATTAGCTCGGTGAAGGGCGATGTTTACAACGCCAGTCAGTACAACCGCGTCTCTCTATTCCCTCTTAAGCTCATACGTGCCACCACAGTCGACCCCAACCTCATTGACTGGAACGGCCTCAAGCTCTCCTTTGGCTCGTGGTGGGAAGGCATGTACCAGATCGGCTTGTGGCCGGACGTCGAGACCCAGGCGTCTGCCCTTCCCGGCACCCACCTTGCTGGTGGCAACGGCCGCTCAGCGGAGGGTGGGTTCACCTACAAGTCCCCCGACTCCTCGTACTACTTCTTCTTCTTCTCGGACGGCATCACTCCTCTCGCTGGTGCCACCAGCCGCCCTGCAGCAGGCGCTGAGTACAAGGTCCGCGTCGGCCGTGGCGCTGGTGCCATGGGCCCCTTCTACGGCGGAGCCGGTCACGCCTTGACCGAGGACATTCCTTCTGCCCCGACTGGCAATGTCATCCTCTCCAGCCATGACAACGTCTACGCTCCAGGTGGCCAAAGCATCTTCCGTGACCCTGTCAGCAACCGCGATGTTATCGTTTACCACTACCAGAAGCTCGACGGTGCTATCGGCGGGCCTTCTTTCCTTGGCGTCAACTACCTTTCGTTCACCTCCGGATGGCCAGTCCTCGTCGACTAGACCCTTCGCTTTATACCTCTTTCTCCGTCTTGTCGGGTTTTAGTTGGGTAGGGTTATATTGTACATGTGTACGGCTATGTACGACAGGGTATAATTGGGTGAACTGCAATCAATCATACTCTAATGTCCATGACCTCGATCGTCAGGCGGTGATGATGGCTCTTTCCTACGCTGCACTATTTAGTATGACTACCCGCCGACAAGAAGTCTACCAGAGCTCTCGATCTTCATGGTAGGCTACATGAGCGCGGATCGTAGCCTGATCATCGGAGCGACGATGCCGCGGCGGACCAGAAGTCACGTTCTTTGGTGCACTTAAGTTCCTTATGTGAAGTAATGCTACAGGCTGATACGTCTATAGATGAAGCTGGGCCCCGTGATAGCGACGTCGGCGGCGGGACCGACACTCTAGCGTTTAGGGCGCCTTTCGAGTTCGGCTACCGGCGGACCGACGCGGTGATGCGAAGTTCGGCGTGCGACGCCGCTTCCTCTTCACCGCCATGATGCTCTTGTCCTGGCTGCGACGGGGGAGAAAACACGAGCACTCATAGCTGGGGATTGGGCACACATCTGCTCGCTGCGCCTGTTCGCGGCAAGGGCTACTCGACACAAGACTCGATGGTTGTTGCAACACTGAAGCGCTGAAGCAAGGACAAATATTGTCGGAAAGCAGACATTCCAGCCGCGGCGCGAAGGGCCACATCTCGATCATCTGCTTGTTTCTGGCGGTGACGACACCAACGACACGGCTACATGCGACGCTCCGCCGCCCGAGCGTAGTGCCCTTGGGTTCACGTATGGGCAGAGGCTGACTTCGGCTCAACCTCCGCGCTCGCATGGAGATACGGGGCGTGCAAGACTCGAACATCTGGCCCTTCTGGATGCGCATGTCCTGCCCTGAGAACAGCAGCAAGCTTGGCCGGAGTAGGCGGTAGCTGTTCGTGAGATGCGTCCTGTTCCTGCACGCGCGTCGCTGAACTTCGTGATGATACATCCATGCACATCATGCGTCCCGGTGACCTGACCTCGAGCTATGTACCTCTCGACTTTCCCGATCTGCAATCATGATGGCCGACCCCGAGGGCTAGCTATAAAGCTGGAAAGTTGTCCTGCACCGGTCCTTGTGGCTCTCCTCCTCCAGCCCTCCAGCTAGAGAAACCTACTAGCTCAGATAATCGTCATGAAGCTTTCCCTTTCCGTCAAGCTTGCTGCCCTCGCGCAGACTCTCTTTGCACTCACCGCTCTTGCAACGCCAAATCCGATCTCTGGTAGCTGTGAGTATGCATGGTTTACTATTGTATCGCTTACTCTGACCGTCAATAGCCAGCGTACAAGTCCGTGATCCGGCCATCTGGTACAACTCCGCAACGAAGGTAAGAGACCCATCACTGGCAGGGCTCCGCGACTAATAGGTAACATCGCCTCAGAAATACTATGTCTTCTCTACGAACAACAAGATTACGATTTACACCTCTACATCGCTGACTGGGTACGTCCATCGTGATGACACAAAAGTATACGTTGGACTAAAGGACTTCCCAGGCCATGGACCAATGTCGGTGCTGCCATCCCCAATTGCTCGATCATCCAGTTGGACGGCAACTGCAACCTCTGGGCGCCCGATGTTAACTGTATGCACCACTACTCATCGTGGCGTCGCGTTTTCGTATGCCGACAGTGACATCGTCTAGATATCGACGGCGAGTATGTCTTGTACTACTCTGTTTCGGCTATCGGCAGTCAGAACTCTGCCATCGGTGTTGCCACGTCCCCCTCCATGGAACCCGGAACATGGACGGATCACGGCGAGGTCATCAGCTCCAAGACGGGCGATGTCTACAACGCCAGTCAGTACTATTGCATCCCTCATGTACTTCTCGAGCTCATACCTGTTGCCTTAGTCGACCCCAACCTCATTGATTGGAACGGCCTCAAGCTCTCGTTCGGGTCTTACTGGAATGGCATGTACCAGATCGGCCTGTGGCCTGACGTCGAGACACAGGCCTCGGCGCTCCCCGGAACCCACCTTGCAGGCAACAGCGGCCGCCCGGCAGAAGGCGGCTTCACCTACAAGTCTCCTGATTCCTCGTACTACTTCTTCTTTTTCTCGGACGGTATCACGCCTTTGGCCGGCGCGACTAGCCGTCCCGCCGCCGGGAAAGAGTACAAAGTCCTCGTCGGTCGTGGCTCGGGCGGCATGGGCCCCTTCTACGGCATGCTTGGCAATGACCTGACCGAGGCGCTCGATCCCCCCACTGGCTCGCTTGTGCTTGGTAGCCACGACAACGTCTATGCTCCTGGTGGACAGAGCATCTTCCGCGACCCTGTCAGCAACCGCGACGTCATGGTATACCACTACCAGCCGCTCGACGGTCCCATCGGCGGACCGTCGTACCTCGGCATCAACTACCTTTCCTTCACTTCTGGGTGGCCCGTCGTCGTTGCATGAGCGATCCAATGTACCCTTTCATCTCACTCTCAGAATGATGTATTTGGTATCGATCTGTTGTACGTATGACTACAGGGTATTCGTTGGGCAGAATGTCATCAATCGTATTCGTCGTCTTCATCGTCAGACATGGGCGGTGAAACTTCCTTCCGTACCGGAAGAACATGCAGGATCTTCAAACAATCCAACACTATCCCAAGGACGAGGAGTCCAAAGCTAGTGGCCCCTTCCTTCTCCCTATGTTCCTGGGCCCATGCATATGCGAGCCAAGCGCGCCGCAGACCGGCTCTAGTCACACCTGGCTCGTCGTCTGGTGTAGACTTGTGCAGCTTCTCGCGAATGTCGCGTATCAACGTTTCCGTGTGTAGCTTCATGCGATAGGTGCGATCCTCTCGTAGACCCCGATATGTGCTCGTGGAGAGTATGACGCCCAGGACCACTTCCTCTTCGGAAAGCTGGACGCCTGGATTGTTCGAAAGGGAGTGCGTGGAGCGTATGTAACGCAACTCGTGCGCATACCGCGTGAACAGGTCGGAGGCAAGGCTAATCAATGCAGCATCGCTCTCGACCGACGCGCCCTCGTCCTCGGAAAGCACTTGTTGCACGATGGGTAGCAGAGCCGTCGAGATTGTGTCCGTCATGGGCGGTCCAATAGGAAAGATCGGTATCTCAAGGGGTGCATCGTCCGCTATCAGCGTGATATCACGATAGAGATGTCCCAGGGCGCGCTCAGATACGTAGTAATCGTTGTCGCGAACGTCGGATACTTCGGCTTTGTGCCAGTCGGGCTTGTATGGTATGAGGTATCGAGGAAGTCTTGTTTCGTTCAGATCTATCGGGACGCCATGTTTTGCGTAGTCGACCGCGCGACTACACATAGAGGCGAGCATCATGCAGTGACGATCGTATGTTCCTTGCTGAGCCTCAGTGTCAGAGTGTCATGCCAGCTGAACGAATGATGGGCGCGCACTTTGGACTGATCTGCCAGGGCAGTCAGCAAGAGCATGCGAGATAGCTGCTATTGATAGACATACCTGCGATGGTAAGATGCCGGTCAGACAAAAGACCCTAAAACTCGTCGATTAGCTCGTGGATGTGAGCCAGAAACAGTGAATCCATCTACGCACAAGAACATTGGAGTTGATATATTCTACGATGAAGTCACAGATATCCTCAACAGTCACGGTCCGGCCCTGCGGAAGTGTCCACGGATCAACTGCAGGATACGCAGCTGGCTCACACTGTGTCGTTGGCAGGAGATCGGGATTGTTGATGAACACGTCGAACTGATCTCTGCGAAGGTGATGAGTGACAGTGAACCATGCCTTTCGATCCTCTCACCCATCGAGATCGCCGCCGCCGAGGCAGTCCGCTAACGAGCGAGGCCCTTATGAATTCCACATAAGTGTATAATTTTATATGATCAACCGTGTTTCGCACCTTGGGCTGGAAGAACGACCGCGTTCTTGAGGCCCCTGAAGAAGCATATCTTGCCTTCTGGAGGCTTGCCAATCGCAAACACGCGTTGCACTGTAGAGTCAAAGTGAGAACTAGTGGACCGCTCTGTGAAGGAACGGATTCACCATCGCCGGGGTGAACAACCGGGCTTCGAGAGATCGAGCACAGCCCTTTCAGAAAGACGGGCTCATCCTCGGGGCTCTCTTGTATACAAGCTTCGAAAGCAATGCCGTCAATGATCCCACCACACTCAACCCGCGTGAGCACGTACCGAATATGCGCCCTGCTGGGAGAGTATAGACATCGTCTGCTGACACCCCATCTCTGATGTATTGTACCCCTTCATCAGCGACGCCCACGAGTTTGTAGCTCTTAGGCACGGGTATACGCGCCCGGTGCTTGAGCGTCCTGAGCACGCTATTGATCGCATATCGCAGCAGACGACTGAAGACCTCGCTTCCGAGTGCCTTCATGCTACCATGTTCTTTGAAGTCCAGACCGAGACAGCTGAGCGACTCCACAATGAAGGCGAGATGAAACTTGTTCCCGAGGTTGTTCAGCTTCAGGAGCTTCCTGAAGTTGTCCAAATTATCGCGCGCGGTATAGACGTCCCTTTTGGCAAACTGTTGCAGTTCAAGTAGATGCTCCATGCGTACTCCCCGATCTTCGAGTACCATGATGACTGGCCTGCGCCAATCGGTTAGAAGTTACGAGCTACAAGTCAAGCCTTTCGCACGTACCTGTTTAGGAATGCTGTATTGGGATAGTCGAACGCACGCGCGATCTCCAGAGGCGCGCTGGTAACTTCGTGTGCGACATACTTACGCTGAGATCTGCGCAGGCGCATCCGCACGCCCGTCAAGCGATGGTCTACGACGACCACACCTTTGTACCCGAGGAAACGTATCTGGTACTTCGGAAGAAGGTCAGTTCAGCCATCGAGCTTCATACAGGGTGGACCGTACCGCGGATGGCTTGACGCGGTTGATGCGGTAGTTGCTCGACGCTTCGCACATGACAGTCCATATCATGTCACCAAGCTCAGGAGAGATAGTGCCAACACCATCTGTATGGCATGAAGTTCCCCCGTTCTCCATCAGAGTCCTTATGTCAGGTATCTCTTCCCATTGACCTGCCCGTCATGGTCAGACTCCTGTACCTCAACTGAGAGACGGATGGACGTACTGGAATCGAGTGTCACTGATGGGTCCGTTGCCGTAAACGCCAGCGCAATGCGGGCGGCTAACTTTGAGGGCTGTCTAAGCAGTTCCTCGTTGTCCTTCACCTTGAAGTCCAACACACTGCGTCGGATCCCTTCCGGTGTGACCTCGCAATCATTCGGTTTCGCATCTGGGTCAATGAACGATGACATGAACCAAACGGCATGTGAGCGGAGTGCGGAAGACGAATATGCCAGGAACTCGAAGTGTCTCCCTCCAAGCTCGAAGCCTTTTTTCAAGATACGCCCGACGCGTTGTTGTAGAAGATAGCTCCCATCGACGTTCCGGTCCCAGCGAAATGGAAGCCGGTCCTCTTCCCTGAAGTCCACGCGAACAAAGTTGTCAAGGAGTTCAGGTGCATGTGCCCTTTGGTATCGTCTGATGACGCGGTTCGACTGGGTAGCGTAAGGTCCTTCCAGCAGTGTGCGGGTAGGTGTGAATGTAATGTGGTGGCAGGCAAAGTGGCCTGGCGCCAGGCGAAGAGGCGTGACGTCCACATTCTCATCCCGCACACGCTGGAAACATTGAGCTGGTGTCTCCGATAGAGGACGCAATGAAAGATCGTTGCAGAATAGCCGCAAGATATCGGATGCAAGTGAACCAAAATCTCGAATCACAGCATCTATGGGGTCACGAAGATCGACCAAGAGATCGTTCGTGTTCAGAAGTCCATTACGCAGGAGCGCTTCAACCTGGAATGCATCTCGCCATGGCATGGATCTAAGCCACCTGCTCAAGTAATGCATCTCCTTCTGCGCGAAGAACCGACGAGATTCGGCCTCAACATGATCCATCCGGAGCGGGTGTGGCTGACACTGCGCTATTCTGCAGAGCGCGTAGAACCTATCCAGATCGCCCATCTTGAAGAGTACTAGGCGCAGATGCGGGGAGTACGGTGCGACGCGGGCATGTGCGTCATCTAAGCCACAGACGCGGTCACGGTCTTTGAACATCTTCCTACGGACGCCATCAGGGGTTGCGCCGCTGAAGTTCATCATCTCGAAATCGGGAGGAACGATCATGTCGAACACGACATCTATAGCCTGTCTTGAGGGATACACACGGAGATTATATGCCAAGAGCTTACAAGGGTTCCCAAATTCTTCACCAATTGCGATCTTGTTAATGGAACTGAACTTAACGTTGACGAACTTGCATGATTCCTCGGTATAGCGACTGCCGAGCTGTATGAACTAGCTCAGTAGTGTCCGAAACCCGATAGTCCGCACCACATACCTCAATCTTGATTGACTTGTGGTCGTACACAACCTCAACCCAAGCCTCGCTGCGCTCAGTGTAGTCACATTCGTATTCGACCGAGAAGATCCTGTTTTGCACTTTCCCTCTGACTGGGGTCGGTCTATACCAAGTTCCGAACTGAACTCTTGCGATGCGCAGGCGCTCCGAGAGATGGTGCAGTATCTTCTGACGACGCTTCTCCTGCTCAGGTGCGATATACACCGCATTCTCGAGTATCTGCTGGTGCTCCTCAGACATGCGTGTCTGGGACTTGCTGATGTAGAGTTTGCGCCCGCAAACGCGGATACCCTCTTTACGATGTGCGGGATCATGCAGCCAGTCCAAGAAGCGCTCGCCTAGTCGACGGGATGGAAGACCGAGCGTGCCTTCGCCTGCGTGGAGGCGACCAACATGACTCTCCTTCAGCACGACAGAGAAGTTCGGTACGCGCCCCTTGTTGTTGGGATCCTCAGGGTCGTACAAGTCCGGACCATGTAGGACGGCCTCTATGGCCTTCTGCACATCGTATTTGGTCGCTTCGAAGTCGATGTACTTCAGCGCTAGCTCCATGGCGATGGTGGTCGACGACCAACACGCGTTTTGGCGGCGACTGTTATCGGAACGCGTACTCGTGACTTGCACGTGTACGTGGTTCCATTCGCACACGCGATGGGATTGGTGTGAGTTTGGTTACTCGATTTTGCTACGCTCCGGAGTGTCATCTCCTCCGAGCCTCCGAGGTGACGAGCCGAATCTCGTAGCAAATGCGCAGAACGATGCCGCACACGTCGTCGACGTCCCGATCGTACGCGGCCTGTATGCGCGCTATCCACTTGCTCCGCGACTTATCGATCCACTTACTGCCGATAAGTACTTAACAGAGCATTCTCATCAATAACCTTCGCACTCGTACCCATACACGCTGCGCCGTCTTGGGAACCTCATACTCTAGCTTGACATCATCTTTCATCACTGGTAAAATGCCGAGCATCTCTGTTTGCCGCCAAGTGTTGGTGATAGGCGCAACCGCTGGCCTCGGCCGGGCGCTCTCCCTTGCGATCCGCGACTTGCCCTCCTCTCCTCGCGTAGTCGTTGCCGGTCGCCGTGTCGAACGTCTTGAGGCGTTGAGCAAGGAGGAGCGCATCGACGCTGTCCAGCTTGACGTCTCTGCCCCACGTGAGAAGCTCATTACGAGCGTCAACGATGTAATCAAGAAGTTCCCCAACGTCAGTCTTGACGGAGTGTGTAGAGTGCATACGAGTATGCTCACTGCCATTTGTAGATCGACTGCGTCATCTTCTCAGCGGGTATCCAGCGCCAAATAGATTTCACAAAACCCGACACCGTTAATCTCGACAGTGAGCTCTTGATGAACTTTCTAAGCTCGCGCCACAGCTAAACCTCCGCTCCCTCACGCAGACGCGGAAGCAGAGCTCAATACCAACCTCCTTGCGATCATCACGATGATTTCAAAGTGCTTCATCCCGCACTTCCAGTCTCTCGGCCGGCCGACATTCATCATGCCTATCTCGTCTGGACTTGCGCTGCAGCCCAAGTCTAACATTCCAGTGTACTGCGCGAGCAAAGCTGCATTGCATTCGTTTTGCGTCTCGCTCGGAGTTCAACTGAAGAATGCCGGGAGCAACCTCAGTGTCGTCGAGATTATGCCGCCACTCGTCGAGTCTGAGCTGCACGATCGTCAGTATCTTATCTTATGCTGTATCTAAATTTGAAAGTGGTTGACCTTCACCCGCAGATGAGGGCACGACGGAGATGTTGTCCAAGTTCTGGGTGCCGCTCGACGTCTGGACGAAGAGCACGATCGAGGAACTGACCAAGATAGACGGGAATGGGATCTCCATTTGCAGCGACCTGTTCAAGCCCATGTACGACAAGTTTGAGAGGGAGAAGCTTGAGAGCGTCTCGTAGACGATTAAGATGTAGAGAAACCCGTGTGTGATACCTGGCGAATATGACGATGTTCATGCTCGAGAATCTAGCGCAAGGGTATTTTTGTGCAAATTATAACGAAATTAGAAAATGCGTCTATGAACACCTAAACCTGAAAGCAGAGGGAAGGGGACCATCCAGCACGCCACGCCACGATCCGTCTAGTAGCGCCAGACCTCCTCGCGCTCACGACCGCGCATCGCCGGAGGCTCAGTGCCAGCGTAGTAGATGTCGGTCCAAGCCTCCTCGATGGTAGGCTCAGGCGAGGCCTTCGCCTCCTCAACAGCCTGCTCGACGGTCGCCTTGGCGTCCTTGTCGATCTGCTTGAGCTCGTCCTCGGTCGCGACGCCCCACTCCTCGATGTAGCGCTGGAGACCGCGGATGGGGTCCTGCGTCGAACGCATCTTCTGGACCTCGTCGCGGGTACGGTAGGTGGTGCCGGGGTCGGACATGGAGTGCCCACCGTAGCGGTAGGTCACGTACTCGAGCAGGAGCGGGCCCTTGCCAGCAAGGCACCAGTCGCGTGCGTATGCGGCGGCCTGGCGGACGGCAAGGACGTCCATACCGTTGGCCTGAAGACCAGGGATCTTGTCGCCGCGAGAGAAGTACTCGGTGTTCATCGACGAGCGCTCGGCGCTGGTGCCCATACCGTACTTGTTGTTCTCGCAGACGAAGACACAGGGCAAGTTCCAGAGCTTGGCCATATTGTACGCCTCGAAGACCTGGCCCTGGTTTGATGCACCGTCACCGTAGAGGGTGAAGGCCATTGCGGGCTTCTCGTTGTACTTGAGCGCGAAGGCGAGACCGGCGCCGAGCGGAACCTGGGCACCGACGATACCGTTGCCGCCGAAGAAGCGGGGGGTGAAGATGTGCATGGAGCCACCCTTGCCCTTGGACATGCCGTCCTTGCGACCGAGCAGCTCAGCGAGGACACCCTTGATCGTGCCGCCGCGGAGAACGGCGAAGGGATGGCAACGGTACGAGGTGATGAGCAAGTCCTCCTTCGTCATTGCGGACTCCATACCAGTTGCAACGGCTTCCTGTGATGTTGTCAGGATATATCCAGATGTACTCAATTAGGAGCAACGTACCTGGCCGATTGCCAAATGGCAGAAACCACGGATAAGCTTCGCACGGTAAAGAGAGTCGGCCGCCTGTTCCATCCTGCGCATAGTCGCCATCTCCGTGTACATCTTGATCAGGCTCTCCTTCGTGACCTCAACCTCGAGCCCGGGCGTGTCCAAGTTATGGCCGCGGAAGGAGTCTTCATGGAGCTTGACCTTGAACGGCGTGCTGTGAGACTCTGGTAGTGGGTCATGGAGCTGCGTGCTGTCCGCCGCCGTCTGCAGCGAGCGCGTAGCAAACGGCTATGACGTGTCAGAAATTTCTGTCAAATTATATATAATAAGCCAGCCAGTAAACATACTACGCGTTTTGAGAGGAGGGCCGGACGGATTTGGCGGGCGACGGCGTGCATGGCGGTGGGAGGTGGAAGAGAACGGCGCTGGGGCGCGTCGGCCTCGGGACAGCGGAATGGGGTCTCTCGCGCGGACCGGCTTCTTCCGAACTCCGAACTAGTCTTCGCTCGATCCTCTCTTCTCCTCCGACGGCCATCATCTGTGGGTTGCATGGCGCTCCCAGCGAACGATCAACTATATATCAACCTTGACCATCACCACCCGCGCCGAGTCTCTCTCCGATTTTTGCATCGAACAGAGATTTTTATCCATCTCAACCGAATATTTATTCCGACCGAGTATTCATCCCGACCGAATATTTAATCCATAGTCGGCCCGTTCCCGCGTGTGAGCTTCGATCTACGCCTAGCGGAACGTGGTCAACCAGCGCGCCCTTGACATCGCCCTTCAGCACATCTACGGTTGTGGTTGATGCACGTGGCTCTACACAAAGAGCGCTCGATGGAGATGCCCATCGTTCTGCTTCCCTCCACGACGATATTTGCTGATAGCCACCATGATCATCCCTTTCCCGGATGTCAAACCTCTCTCACCAATATTCAGCCCAGAAGAGTCCGTATATCCCTCCTACCACCTGTTTGTCTTACTGATACGCCGCAGCTGCTCAGACAATACAATTCGCGAGTTGGTCCGTGCCCTATCTGTGGCACAAGATGGCAGCGTTATTCGTATGGACGCCACCGCCCTTACGTCTTCCTGGCGTGACATCAAGGCGAACTCGGTGATGCTTCATCGAGTGCTCAATGGTTTCCGCTCGCTTTACGAGGGATTATTGGGGCAGACTGACATATCATTCAATTCGGACGAGGACATCAGTATAGCTCTGCTCCGACGAGCGGAGTCACTCCAATATAAGTGAGTGGCGAGTTATACATCATCCTCACAATTTAGTGTCTGATGGGTAGAGTCTAGAGTGAAGAATGTAGGCGATATCTGGCGGGCCCTGATCTGGTTCGAGAGGAAGTACTGTGCGCTGATAAACGATACATCTGCCCTCCGAAACGACGCCAAACAGGGACGAGCCATAGCTGAGGGGCTGGCCAAAACCATCGCTTGGCTGAACCTGGTTATCGCGCAGTTGAGCAGGAGCTACGCCCGCGTGCAGGAGGCTCGTGTGGCGCGGACCCCCATCTTTCGATTGCACCTGCCTATCCTCACTTCGATCTTGGAGTTTGCGGCTGACTACGATCCGCCCACGGAGAAATCACTAGGATGGGTGGGGCATAGTCACGTATGCAGCGTGTGGCGGGAGATCTTGATGGGCATGCCTCGACTGTGGGCGCGCGATGCCTTTGCCTTCGGGACTGAAGTCGCTGCGAAGGAACTCCTTGATCGCGCTGATCAGGCGCTCGTCTCTATCTCGCGAGATGGCCTCTCGATAAGAGACAGCACTGGCCCTTCACTCACTTGGCACGAAGGCGCCGTGTCGTTTGCACGCCATGATCAACTATCATCGCTCTACCTCCTATCAATCAACGGGAACATCCTCGACGTAAAGCTCCTCGCGTCGTGCTGCACTCTTCCCGAGATGAGCCATATCTTCAGGAGAAAGGCTCTTCCCCACTTGCGCGACGTATGCATCAAGACACCGTGGACGGGGAGAGACGAGACGGGTGGCTTGCAGCAGACCATGGCGCCCCATCCGAATCTACAACGCTTGGAGTTCCTTAATACGTTCATTCCCTTCGGCGCGCTCCCTAGTCTCGTCAGCTTGCACCTCGTCTCCGAGGAGAAGAACAAGAACATGCCTGAAGCGACGCTTAACGCTCTCCTCGATTCCCTCGAGCGATGCCCGACATTGCGTGACCTGCGCATCTATCCGTGGACTATACCCCTACCATCGCCAGCCCGGACCCCGATCGCATTGCCATACCTCGACACCCTCTACGCCACCAGCTCCAGACTTCTCGATCATCTGCATCTACCTGCACTACGCCGCTTGCGAATGCTTACACCCAATAAGGCGCCCGACCTTCGCGCCGCGCTACAGGCCCTCTTCGAGCGCTACACGTTGCCTCTACGCACCATGCATCTCTCGCAAAGGGTCCTGGAAGGCGACGAGGACCTTCTAACCATTCGCTTTGGCTTCGACTCCTCGATCTCTCCCCGTCCTGAAGCGATCCCGGTGTCCTTCGACTTCGGAGCGATCGAACCCGGTCAGGACTTCGTAGAACTGATGATGAAGGTGCAGAAGAATCGCTCCGCCTGGACGCTCTCGCGGCTCTTCAGATGGACATGCAGTCATGTTCGCGAAATAGTGGGCACTGAGGCACTCCAAGTGCTCGGGTTTGACAACGAGACACGCGATGCGTCGTTCAGACTCGATCCTACGGACGGCAGGGTACACTTGGACACTATGGTGCTCCCGTCTTTCCCTTCCGTTCGAAGGTTCGAGTTGCCAATGCGAGAAGGACACCTCGACAGCACATACCATGCACTCCAGTCTCTGACTCGAAAAACAAATCCGCAACATCTTCCGCTCCTCCAACGCATCAAGTTTGCCGGGCCAGTTCTCGTGGCGCAGAAGTTCGGGGAACTGCACAAGGCCGTCGTTTGTCTACTTCATTCTCGCAGGTCGGTTGACGGCATCAGTACTATCAAGACTTTGGAGTTCGAGCTAGCTCTTGGGGTGTGCGCAGAGGCGTATCCATTAGAGACGCTCAAGATGGCGGTTTCCAATGCCGTCAGATGCGCCCTGGGTGAAGGCGGGGCGATGAACGTTGAAGAGGTCTCTCCTCAGATGCGGGATGGGACGAGTAGTGACGAGATTCGTATCGTCGCTACTCTTGTCTATCCTTCCTCTACCCCCGCGGCAGCGGCATAAAGTACAGTTGCGCATACCCTTTCTGCGTATCGTATTCTTTACTATCTTGCATCTTACCGTATACAGTACACTCAGCCTCACGAGTGTGGCACTCACAGTCAGGTCTCCTCTACCATACGATCCTGTATATGTACCGCATATGATGTCTATATGGTTGCGCACTCAATCCCGCGGGCCTCTGCCTGACATCCGCTCCTATTACTGTACTATTAGTGTGCCAACTGTTGCCTGCAAGCGCCGCGGCGGACCCGAGTGGCTGTGTGGGAAATAATTAGTAATATGCGGCGTTCGGCCCGAACCACTGAAGTCGCGATCGGTGGCGCGCCGCTTCCCTCCCTCGACGTCCATCACCCCGCCCAACTCGTCAATACTCTTGCATTCCAGGGTCGAACATCCATATTACACACTCTCAGAGACACCCTTGGGACTGCAAGATGCATTCCAGAGGGTGCTCTTGTCGCGATCTCTTTGTTTTGATCGTTCCGGAGCTACTGGTACTAGCATGGCGCGCTTCTCGGGCGGTCTAGTCGCCTGGACAAACCCCTTTTGGCCAGAGGGTGACTTGAAGCATCAATATGTGGCTGTCAATACCCATGTTTGCGTAACTAGCGACGGAAAGTTACTCGCACGCTATCGTCTGGCTCACAATACAGCAAGCACTCCTTTTTGTTGCCAGAGAACCAGTCGTCAATGCGCCAATCTCTACCTCGGCTACCTTTTATTGTCGTGAAGATTGTGTGTCTATAAAAGGGCGAAAGTTTCCTCTACTTTCGTTCTCTCACTCAGATTTGCTCTCTTTACGCTGGCCGTATTCAATCTCTCAACGACCTAGGTGCGACATGCCTATATTTCCCGGAAAATGTCTAAGGTACGCGTATACGACTAGTCTATCGGACATGACCTTACGACTTTCAGTGTTGATGATGCACTGTCGATGTTGGCTCGTAACTTGCTGATCGGGGATGATACGCAGGATGTGTCTCCCAGGTGCGGCACACGGCGAACGAGTCGCTCCTACAACTCCTAACGCTGGAATGCAGATCCATGGCCCCATTCTCCTTGCCACCTGACAATGTTCTTGCTTTGGATGGGGTGAAGGATTTCAACCAGAAACAGAACGATTGGTATCGGCGACGACTCGCGGACTACTGGCAGAGTATCGGACTGAGTGCCGATTTGCTGCAGACACATCTCAAGCTTGTCCGCCGCGATCACTCCGAGCTCATAGAAGAGTTGTCTGCAGAAGGTCTGATCAACGAGAAGCTTTACGAAGATCTTCGCCTGCGAACTCAGAGCACACATATTCGTACCAGGTTCGCTTGCCCTGACCGTAAAGCTCAACTGATGGCCTGACACAAGTACTTCAGGATTGACATATCGAATGTGGCCGCATCGTATCAAGCGATGATCACGGCGCGCGGGCAGTTTCATACATTCACCAACAAGACGAATCTACAAAATCGCGGTGAGATCGGATGCAATGTCGCTTTGAGTCTAGGTCGGGCCATTGACTGGATTTACGGTGCCATCGACATCTTGAACGACAGCTATTCTCGCATAGAGCAGGCCCGCGCCGTAATAACTCCTGTTTTCCGTTTGGAGAGGGACAGCCTTGCGATTATCTTCGAGTTGCTGGCCAACTACGAAGCACCCTCAAAGAAGTCCTTGGGCTGGATGAGACTTGCGCACGTCTGTAGCGCTTGGCGCCGGGTGGTATTGTCATTGCCTTCACTCTGGGCACGAGATGCGTATGCTCTTGGGCCTTCAGTCGCGACGGGCCATACACTGGCTCGTGCCCAAGACGCAGTCCTCTCAGTCAGCGCGCGCAGGCTTTCTCAGACCCATGACGGAAATTTATCGGCCAATCACTCCTTTTGCGTGGACTTTTCGAGCCGTGACGAGATCGAACCTATCTGGCTCGCAGCGTGCAGGGAGGCACTGCGTGATCTGCACATCTCATGTGGGGACGACCACGAGGTTGGCTTCGAAGACGAATCGGCCCTTCATCTCATGGAGCACGTGCTGAGCGATAGACCTCAGCCACACTTGCGTTCAATCACCCTATGGGCGAAGTGGCCCACTCAGAGCATCAGAAGTACAGCAGGGCAGCTCACCATGGCACCACATCCGAACCTTCGCTATGTTCGCTTCGTGAACATGTTTATGCCCTTCAGCCTCGCGGGACTTGCGCGTTTGCACCTCACTCGCTCTGCAGGCCCTCACCCTCGTACAATGCCTCAAGAATGGCTTATTGCATTGCTGCACTCACTAGAATCGTGTCCCAACTTGACCGAACTACGGCTCGTTCATTGGATATTACCTGTGACTCCTGCGGCCAGAAGGATTGAACTTCCTCACCTTGCCACACTTGGATGCTCCGACGCTCGTCTATTGGGGCACTTGAGACTCCCCGCCTTGAGATACGTGCAATTTCTGACTGCGACTCTGGCGAACCTCGAAGTCGTCCCAGAAGTTTTGGAAGCTATATTTGCATCATATGGGCTATCCCCTCGCGGTATACACCTCTCACAGCGCGTCTCAAACATTCCAATCACCTCTCAACATGACATTCTCATGCTACAACTGAGTTGGGAACCTCTTGCCCGCCCGCCCTCTCTACCTTTGACCTTCAAACCCACTACGTTCACTGCCGATGCGCCGGGGCCTGGTCTCTCCTTCGGTTTCTACGTCCGGCGAGCGCTCGCGGTCCGCTCGCTCTCGTTCCTCTTCGCGCAGGTCGCGCACATCGTCGGCCGGACGGCTGGAACGCAGTCATTGGAGACCATCGGGTTCGACAACGAAACGCGCGAGCACACATTCTTCGGTGTGGCACCAAGCCCGTACCAGCTCATGCTCCTTCCGTCTATGCCAACAATACGGAGGGTTGACATACCTCTCCGGGATATCGACACGACTTACCACCTTCTTCACTCCCTCGGGGTTGACGTCAACGTCCAAAACCTCCCGCTTCTGCAGTGCATCAGATTGAGGGGATCGTTGTCCGTGGCGGAGAAGTTCATGGAGATGCATAGGACGCTGGCAGTCCTGCTTCGCGCGCGGATGTCGCACGGCATGGAACCGATCGGGTCTCTCGAGTTCGATCTGTCTTCGAAGGCGATGTCGTCCGTGAGCCTACATGATAGTCTGGGAAAGCTGAACCAGGCTCTTGGAGCCCTTATCATCCTCGTGAATAGTGATTCGAGTCGATCCGCCGCGTTGAAGACGGATACGAAGATCATGCAGGGCCAGGTTCATCTCCTTGTTACTATCACGTACTCTACGTAGACTCTTAGCGCTTCTCTCAGGTGTTGATGAGGGTAGTGTAACCATACCGTTCCTATGCTGTCTCTATGGTGTAGCCGCTCCTAATCATACGTATTCGTTGAAATAAGTCGGGTGTTGTTCCACTACTAGGACGCGCCCTGCGGCGTTCGGATCTGATAGCGCGGACATCTGCCCACCCATACGGGAATTCCAAGGACGGACTTGAACTGACGGAGTTGGCTTGACTCTGCAAAGGCAATCGTTGTGCTCAGTGTGTACACGCTAGTGGTGGCCAAAGCCAGGAAGGGGTGGCCGCGTAAAACGCCCGTGACAAGGAGCGTGGGGACCGCAGCCGGCCGGGTCCGAGCCCCCGATAAGATTCTCTCGTCTCCTTCCACCATGATACCACCAAGGCTCTATGCCTCTGCGATATGCATATACCCCTTCCCATACACTCCAGAAGTCTCTGCTTTGACTTGCGCAGTGAGACCTTTGTTCCTGTGACTGGTGGGGCAGGGATCCACAGGATGGTCTATGCGTCTAGTAAACCAGCTGGTGGGCCGACCCCAGCTCATACCAACCTCGCGAGTTCCATCTTGCAGCTCGAGACCCTCTCGCCTACATAAGGAACAAACTAGGCCGGGAGAGCTCTTATCCTATAGTAGGTAGCTGCACGACTCGTCGTGAATCCCTATGGTCCGAACACCTTACGCCCTTTCTCATATCGCGATGACGACCTTTGTCCGATGGTAGTCAACGCGACTGCTCAGTGCAGTCCTTCCTCCCAGATAGGTTCCTCTTGTATATCCTCACAGATATAGGGCACTCTTTCATTCTCTACGCTGAACATTTCTCAACACCTCTCGCTCATTCAACTCGACTTCAGATGGCAACGCGGAATACTATACCCTACACGGTCATCGACCTGACGCAGGAGTGAAGTCTACCATCCCACGCGTACATCTGTCTTTTCTTGCTGACGTCTGTTACCAGCTTCGATGATGCCGCATGCAGATTACGTTGGAATCTGGCATCTATGCGGGCCGCTTCACAGGGCAACTACGACTTCGCGATACTCGACCCAGCGGAACTGGCAGCTTTCTGGAGAAGCATAGAAGCCAACGCTGCCATGCTGCGCGTGGCTCTCAAAGGCTTCAGCCTGCGGCATGCCAAACTAGTCGACCATCTGTCTTCACCTCATGCACTCGGCAAGAACTTCCGCGAGGACCTCGCTGAAGAAGCTCAGGTATTAGCACTATGGTACGTCATTCAATGCATTGTCGATTGTCATCTTCCCTGACTGTTCTATTATAGTGTAGAAGATTCTAATGCCGAAAGCATCTGGCACAGCTTTATCCTGCTGGACCAAGACTCGTATCTGCACGCAACCCACGAGGACTCCTGGAACGACACTACCCAAGGACGCGACATAGCCTTACGACTCGAGATAGCGATTAACTGGCTTAAGGATGCTCTCGAAGTTCTTCGCGGTGGCTACTTTTACATCGAGAACGCGCGTGCTGCGCTGACTCCTGTCCTCCGTCTAAACGCCGATATCCTCCGTGCTATCTTCGGGCAACTCGCTGAATCTGAGGCTCCGACTAAAGGATCGCTCGGCTGGATACGCCTCTCGCACGTCTGTAGCGTCTGGAGACAGGTTCTCCTGGACATGCGTGATCTCTGGGCGCGCGACGCGTTCACATTCGGAGCGGGCGTCGCAAGAAACGATATTCTGCCTCGTGCGCAAGGCACCGTCGTCTCCGTGAGCGCGAGAAGACTGCCGCCCCAAGGCCGAGGAAGGCTCCCTCTGAACTGCGAGACCGTCGTGTCTCTTAAGAAAGAGGATGTCGAGCTGATCTCGCGTCTCGCCGCACAGAGGTTACTTCGTGATGTACACGTAGACGTCGTGACGCGCGGTTTCCTCGTAGAGTACGACGGCATGCCGAATCTCGTCGACCTGATTCGCATCCTAGGCGAACGCTCCCAGCCTCATCTCCGCTCGGTCAATATCAGAGTACCGTGGGAGGAGAAGGCGCTGAAAGTGATGTACGAAAAGTTGCCCTCAATCCACATGGCATCTCATCCCAATCTTCGCCATATGGAGCTTGCCAACGTCTTCCTTCCATTCTCCCTTCCCTTGCTGTCTAGCCTGCACTTGATATGTACGATTGACAACTCCATCATGCCGGATCGCTGGTTCGGTCTATTCCTCGAAACTCTGAGATCGTCTCCGGCGCTCGATGACCTTCGGATCGTTGGATGGATGTTCCCACAGCCGCCCGCCCAGTATCGAAAGGTCACTCTCAGCCACCTCACCACGCTCTGCAGCACGACCAGTGAGATACTAGCGTTCCTCCATCTACCCGCATTGCAGCGTGGCTATCTCGCCGACTTGAAGTCGCTTTTGAATGCGCGGACGGTCTTGACGACGGTATTGACTCGGTACGGCTATACTCCCCACAGTGTACAACTGTGCCAGCGGGAAGCTCCCGATACATATCATGACCGTGTAATCGTGCGTCTAAGGCGTACACCTTCTGACATTGTCTGCCCGCTTCTCAGCCTCCCACTTGTAAACGAACCGATCTTGGAAGACCCAGGCTCGTACTTGACGATAGCCATGCTCTGCTCAAAGAGCCGTTCCAGACGCGCGATATCGGCGCTGTTCTCAACATATGCGACATTCATCAGCCCAATGGCAACGACACAAGGCCTAGAGACGCTCGCTTTCGACAACGAAACGCGCGAATGCGTCTTCCCCGCTAATACCTCCATCGCCGAGACCGGGTGGTTACCTCTGATGCTCCCCTTCTTCCCGTCGGTCACGACGGTCGAGATACCGTTCAGAGATAAAGATACGACGTTCCACCTACTTCTCTCGCTGGCGGCGCACTTTAACGTCGAGAGGCTCCCGTCTTTGAGCTCTATCAGGTTCGTCGGCTCGATAGACGGCGTAGACAACATCATGGAGGTCACGTCTCCTCTGGGCGCCGTCCTTCGTGCACGAGCATCTCGCGTCGGTATTGCGCCGATCACGTCTCTCGTGGTAGCTCTGCCGGACCAACGCTGGTCGGATAGGGCGGGGAATGACGGGCTGAAACCAGTCCTCATGAAGATTGTAGTCGGGGAACCAGATGACAATGGGGATCCAACGCTGACTGTAGAACCAATGCCAGGGGAGGATGTAGAAGGGGAATCGCCGATCAGTGACGCGTAGTATTTGCGGAGGGGGTTCTCACTAGATACGCTGGCTCGCGTCTATAGAAAGTCGTATGTTACACAGTGAATGGTAATCCATCATGATTCCCTGACGTAACGAGTATTTACGAGTTAGAAAGGGCCTTGGACTTCGTGGTGAGCCTCAGTGTGCGTTCCCACGTGAGTTCTCACGCGCTGCCATTTGCTGTTGCCGAGTTCGCGTGAGTCTTGGGTTCCCTGACGTAACGAGTATAAACGAGTTAAGAAGGGTCCTTGAGGCGACGCCCTTCGAGCGCTGAGCGTTCTCACGCTGTCTCCCACGGTTACGACTCTGATTGGTCGAAACCTCCTAAGGGAGAGAGCTCTTGAACGTAGACACTCTCCCACGGTACTCGAAGCCGAAAATCCGAGCCGAAAGAGCAGCGAAATCGCGATCAACGGACGATCAACGGGAACTTCGTAGGCGGCATCCACCCCGAGCCGCGTCATGCGCTTTCTCTCCTACCATCATGTCAATCGGAAAGACGGACACGCTTGAGGCTCGTTCGTCCTTGTCGTGCTGGCTTATTTTTATCGCGTGCAATTCTTGAATCATCAAATCGGCGTCCCCGAGCATCGGTGGATAACACTATTTCCCTCCGCCGAAATTGCGAATACGGGCATGCGGGCAGGCGACGCTCGGGTCTCTTTGTGCGCGATAAGTGAGGGGCAGGGCCAGGTCGACTCTGAGTATCATCATTCGGAGTCAGCAGTCAGCATGATCAATATGCTATGTTTGTGTGGCGGAGTTGTGTCTGCAGCGAAGGAGTAGCATCAGGTTTCAGGACGGTTGTTAGTCTTTGGACGTTGAAACGCTTACCGGGTCTTACTGTCGTTATCGTCGTTACCGAGCGTTGTTAACGCTTGCTAAGGGATTCCTGGTTTGCAGATGTAGTCTTTGGACGTGCCCCAGGTGCCGACTCTTCTGGGCGCGATCCCCTTGACTTCGTCGCTATCCATTTCTCTAGCGGGCGCTACAATCACGTGCATGGGATTGCAAGGCTCGTAGTCGCAGCCTGCGACGCCACCAGCAGCTCCGCCTTTCCAACGGTTGTTGCTCCTGCCTGCTACACTCTCAGCCCAGAGAATGGCCTTGGAACATAAGGATAAACGTGTACGTCGCCAGCATGTCACACAATGTCAGGATGCGGAGACGAGGTGTCCCGCCCGGCTCAAGACTGTGAACGATGAGTCCCAACTGGCGGGCTTCACGCTGCAAGCCGCTAATGAATGTGCCGCAGGACGCACTAAATGGATCACTACGTCGACGGTTCAAATACACCGGCGTACACACGGGTACTCTCATCGTTGCCGTTCCAGCATCACGCCATAGCGAGAGATCGAGTGGGACCCGATTTTGCATACGCCGGAGTGCTGATACTCGGCCATGAGAGACGGCCATGGGTGCCGTCATGGTCACCTCCCTCGCCTCCCCTGACTCAGTCCATACGCCGGTGCCTATCCCACCTGAATTAGTCCACGCGGTTCGCGAACATCTGGTAGGCACGCTTGTTTCAGGTGCAATATGCCTGGACGCATTCACGAGCGCTCGACGATTGGCCCGGCGAAGGAATGCGCGAGTCCGTCTTACAATGTGTGTGCACCGATGCGGGTGTAGGTAGCACCCTGTGCTCGCACGGCTGCTACGTCTATTGTGATTATGCGGACTCCTGCCCCAGAGCCTTCGATGGGTCAAGATCCTCCGATTTGCTTTTCCGCGACGCCTGAAGCATTGATAGGCAACTCAAAGTTCCTCGTTCATTGCGATAGCAGCCAAGCACTTCCATTATTATAATCCTCCAGTTCAATATCGCTTTCAAGCTCGACGGCGAACACGGTCACGATGGCTTACAATAAGCTACTGAAGCAGATGGTCATTACCTTGGGTGGTCACATTGCGAGCGTGTAGACGTATTAACATTATTGCTATCGAATCATTTGAATACGGTTCGTGCAGGGTGCGAGCGGCATTGTCTCGCCCAAGGGTGGAAGTTACTATTGCAGGTCTACGTAGTACTTGCCTCATTGAGGAGCAGTCAACGTGAGGGATTGCGGCTAGTGAAGCTTGAAGCACGATCTCGGGCATGAGACACCCGCGATGCGAGCGAAGCGAGCGGCGGGGGTCGAATGCTCGGAAAACCTTCGTGCCATGCTCATCAGAGTTCGGTGCTCAGCGAGCAGCAGTTGTAGCGTGCGTAAGAGGGACCAGTCCCAAGCAAAGGAAGGCGTAAGACGAACATACGTCAGGGACCAGGCGCTCGCCGCCGCTAGCTTACATATCATAATCCGAGCAGAACGCGGAGGGTCCTCTTCCCACGGGCTAATGATCGCCGAGGCCAGCCCGAGGCGGCGAACGAATCACGAACGGCTCGCCGTAGCATCATATCCTCGATATACAAGCACAACTACCACACAAGCACATCCTCATTCTAGACTAGATCACGCCTTCTCTCCTTCCTCCTCCTCCCCCTCCTCAATCCCAAAAATCTGCCACAGCGCCCCCACACTCCCAAACGGCCGCTCACTCCCAAGCACCGTATTCGCCGCCTCATACCGATTCCCTTCCCTCCTCACCTCCACACACAGCCTCTCATACGCCCTGCCCAGCCGCAAGAGCGCGGCGCGGTGGATGCGGTTGTGTAAGGATGGCGCGGTGAGGTGCGAGAGGCGGTGCGAGTGCAGCGTTTCTTGGGAGGGGTCGGAGAGCCAGGATGAGAAGGCGTGGAGGGAGGTTGAGAGGGAGGCGGGGGTCGTGGCGGGGAGGCGGGAGAGGATGTCCTGTGTGAAGCGTCAGGGCGAGATCAAGAGCATATATGGGGACGGGAGACGCACGGTGGGCTGTTTGGTGTCGAGCGTGTGGATCGCGGGGGCGAGGCCTGTGTCTTGGAGGAGGTTCTCGTACTACATCCGCGCGCGTCAGTATCTGTATACGTATGGGAGGCAGAGGAGAGGGAGACGTACATGTTCCTCGATAAGCTCCGCCACGCGCTCCTCGATCAACCCCTCAACGATCGTCGCTTTTTGCTTTGCGAACGCATACGGCTCCAGCACGCTCTACATCCCCCAAGTCAGCCTCCCCTCCCATAGTCCGTACAGTAAGAGTGAGACAAACGCACCATGATATACGTCAACCCATTAACAACAAACACCCTCCGATCCCACCCCCTCCCCCTCCGCCGCTCCTTCTCCTCCTTCTCCTCGCTCGCGCCATACACCCAGTGCAGCGCCGGATCGAGCATAGTATCCAGTACGCGGTTCATCTCTTCCGGCGCGGCGTTCTCGGTGTCGGAGGCGTGGAGCGCGAGGATGGAGCGCAGCGTTTGGAGGTGTGTGAGGAGGGGGCCGGGCGGGGTTAAGGCTGAGTCGGACGGGGAGGAGGGCGGGAGCTCGGTGCGGAGGAGCGCGCGCCCGAGGGACTCGATCGTGTCGAAGAAGACTTTGTACGCCGCGTCCGTCGTCCTGCACACCACATCAGTGTCTTATTACGCGACAGGGGACGGGAACGCACTCTTTCAGCGTTTTCGACAACAGCGCCTCCTCGCCCACAGTCCGCATCATCGTCAACGCGTAGAAGCCGAGCAGGCTCGCCACCTTATACGCGACGACCGCGTTGTCCTGCCCCCTTACCGCCTGCAGCACGCGGCCCTTGAGCGGGCTGCACAGCCCGCTCACCGCGCCGTCCATGAGCTCCACGATCCACGCGTCCTCTTCCCGCCCCTCCCCTCCCCCTCCAGCACCTCCACTCCCTTTCAA